TCGACGGCTTTCATTCTTTGCTTCTCTGCGTTGTAAGCGTCTAGTTCCGCTTTCATTTTGGCTCGCTCCCCTTCAATAATATCGTTGAATTCGTTCCTAAATCTCTTCACCAAGGCATCGAATTTTGTTAATAAATCTTCACCGCTCATTTTGTAGCGTTTTAAATACACTGAGAATGATTTTGAGTTTGATAAATGACGGCAACACAACTTTAAATGCACGTAGCGAGAGAACAAGGCAAGGTCGTATTCCTTGTAAAAGCAATCTATTCTGGGAAAATAATATTGCGAAATGTGCTTTGTCTTTTATTATGCAAATACTGACAAACATGATCATGGTTTCCTGTTTCATTATGACAACTATTATTAACTGCTGGATATTTTACGGACCTTTGACCTGAATTTGTGTCTAGTGATTCTAGTGGTATTCAGTGAATATCAGTGAAAGCTTGATTTACGCTACGAAACATAACCCAGGTTCGATGTTAACTTTAACCAATGTGAGGTTTTTGAAATGTAGAACTGAAAAAGCCTGTCTAGGGTTTCAGCAGGGTTAGTTTGAGCCATATTCCAGAGGCTAGTTCAAACTAACCTGAGTCCAGTCTAGGTTAAATTTCGTCGCCTAAATCGAGCTGAAATAAACCTCAATGTATACAAATCTGTTTTGTGCGGAGAAATTTATGAAGAATTGAAAGCTTTAAGGATTTCAAGAATTATAAATTGCAGAATTCTCGAATTTTTATCTGGTTCAATTTCAAGCACAGATATGTGATTTACGTTCGTCGAGCGGAAATCACATAAAGTTAAGGATTTTGGGGGGAAACGAAAGAAATTCAGAAACTTTTATGAGAGCCTGTTTTAAACAAATACTTTTATTAAATATCAATATGAAATATAACTTTACTACCTATGAAAACTAATACGATATTTTACTGGTATATGAACCTAAATATTTTGTCCATATATTTGTTATTACTTGATTCTTAATCACTACATGCACTAGTTAACCTAATAAAACAAACAATGACTGCATGCCACTATAATTCTATAACTCAACTTTGATAATGCGTACTTTGTTATATGCCGCATACAAATTTACATAAAGTTCTCAATTTAGCTAAAGTTCCGATAATCATATTGCAAGGACTGGATATATTTACAAAAAAGACACAAAGCACGCTTTCCATTTGAAATGGTCAGACCAGCCATGCTGGGCAGAATTTCTCTCTCCTATAACCCATTAAGCTGCAATGCGCCAAAATGCGCCCTACTTTAGTATTTTACTCTAACGCCAGATGAATTTACTCGTCAAGGGGAACGTCTTGCATACTATAACGGGTTATGATTTGTTTAGTATTTGACTTTCACTATCACTACCTCTCACTGGCTTACTACGCATCTGATTGGTTAATCGTAATGTTTAATAGTCCATTAATTAATGGTGGCGGTAGTGGAAGTTAAATCTGAACTTCTCTAATAGGAAAACGCGCGAACTCTTTAATTTTATTATTCATTGACAAGACATATCTTGTCATCTTTGTTGAACAAATTTACGTGGAGTCTCCAGGTTTGGGACTTGGGTATTTCGATGTGAAATTGTTGATTAGTGCGCAAATGTAATAGTGACAAGTTGGCAGCATCGCAATCCAAGACTAACTTAACCACGTCGCCTTGTAAGACATCGTGTAAACCATTCTCATCCGTTGATACACCATTTTCCCATTTTGCACCACCCTTCCCGAGTCCCCATCCATATGAACCAGGCCATCCATGTGACATGCTATCCGGTTGTGCAACAACATTCTCTTTCAGAATGCCAACAAACATCCAAAAAGTGTCTTTAAACATCTCCAATTTCAACTTGAGACTGTGCCTTCCTTTTCGGTAAATATTTTGACCAAGAACGTATCTATACTCTGTTTCATCTGGATCATGAATGGCGACTTGCTCAAGAGTAACTCCAGGGCTGTGTTGATTGAATCTCTCATTCATTATTTGCTTCTTTGCGTTGTACACTTGGAGTTTGATAAAAGACGGCAACACAACCTTTAATGTGTGTCACAAGAAGGCAAGCTGGGCTTCTGTGTGCCTCAAATATATATATATATATATATATATTGATTAGTTGATATTTGCATATAAATTAAAAATAGACCAGCAAAATGTTTCTTTTCTTTTTTTACTGTAGTTGAACAAGGAAACGATAAACTCGTGCCGAGGCAAATTCTTACGATTTGACTGATTATATTTACAATAAATAACCTGAGTCTATGGGCCTGAAGTTGACCATTGAGAACACTTCAACCCAGAACCTGAACTTATTTTCGACACAAAAAACAATTTAGGTCTTTACAAAAGGATTGGATTTCGAAACTAATTAAAATCCTCAGGGGTCGTGTTCCCCGTGTTCCAGGACTTCTATTCTAATTATTCTTCTCAGCGGTCGTGATAATGTTCGAGTTTGGCATACCTGGTTTCCATGAGTGTCGTGAGACAGAATAAAATATTTGATTGTCGAATAATGTTCCTGCAGTCAGACTTTAATTTAGATAAGGTGGTAGCCTGCCGCACCTCACCAGGAAGTGGGTTCCACAATACTTCCCCACTATTGCTGAAACTATTTTTAAGATAGTTGGTATGTGGTTGCGGCAGAGCTAATTTGCTGCAGGTGTGTCTCAACGTATTAATTAGAGAGTTCACGATGTACGACGCGGCCGGCTCAACGACGCTGTCTAAATTTCAGCTCAAGAATGAGCGCTAAGCAATTTGATTACTGTAATAAATATTTGATGCTTTTTTGAAATAGCCTGCTACTACGTTCGGCTAAAGCGATGCAATGTTTGCTGTAATTTCGACTTTGAGTAGCACCTCTTGGGTCGTATTAAGCTTTCACGTTGCTTGAAAGACGTGATAATGCTTAGTTTAACGTTGTGCTGAGCTTGACAACGCGGTTGAGAATACCCCTGAGACCACAAATTATTCACAGTTTTTGTCTTACCTGACAAATTTCTTTGTTTTGAAAGCGCGTCGTCGAGCCGGCCGCGTCGTAGATCGTAAACTCCCTATTGATTAGCAACGCTACTGCGACCAACAAACATTTGCGCTAAACAATCTGGTGCCAAGCCATTCAAAGACTTGTAAACCACGTAGCCTTAGCAATTCTACGCTGGGATTTCAGATTTTCCCATGCAAGTTTCTCGAAAAGATAATCGACATTTGCATCGCAGTTTGCTTAGCTCAGCACTCTGGCAGCAAACGTTTTTGTATTTTATCCGTCAGAGTACTGCCTGTGAGAAACTGTTGATATTAAAGGAAAATGATGTCATGTCTGCACCGGAAGTGCACATGTTTTGATTGACAGTTTAAGAATTTTGTATAAAGCATGCATTTTAATGCGAGGAAGGTAATCTTCGAGTTAAGCCCTTTTCGTGTTAAGCCCCGACCACGCCCAAACCACACCCATTTTCGTCAAAGGCTTAACTCGAAGAAAGAGAGGGGCTTGAAAAATATCCAACGAAAATATCCAACGCTCGAGTTAAGCTCCGACATTTGAGGCATGTAAAAGAGCAATGATTTGAGTCGCCTACAATCTAGCTGGAAATAGTTATCATACGTCTCGGCTTAAAATTGCCTTAAATAAGCTGCGGCCTAAATGAGTCCCGTACAACTCGCATAAACAGTCAATTTCCATTAATTAACAGATTATTTCGGACTAGCTTTTATACCTCTGAGCTTTATATTACAAATAAATTGATCTTTTACGCGAAATAAAGACTTGAAGTCAATTTATTCGTAATAAGCTCGTCAAAAGCTGGTCCAGTGGTCCAAAATATTCTGTTACTAATGAAAATTGACTGTTTTTACGAGTTGTACGTGACTCATTTAGGCTGCAGCTTATTTAAGGCAATTTTAAGCCGAGACGTATGATAACTATTTACAGCTAGATTGTAGACGACTCAAATCATTGCTCTCTTTTACATGCCTTAAATTGTCTGGGCTTAACTTGAGAGTCGAATATTTTCAATAACTTCGAGTTAAGCCCCTCTTTTTTCTAGGGGCTTAACTCGAACTTTCCAAGTTGTGTTTCTTTCTTCGAGTTAAAACCTTCACGAAAATGGGTGTGGTTTGGGCGCGTGGTCGGGGCTTAACTCGAAAAGGGCGTAATACATATTATAGCAAAACGTGCACGAAGTTACGATAGTTTATAATACTACCACAGCTGTCCCAACCTACATAACAATAGTCGAAATAGCGGTGGAAAGGTGAACAAATCGTCTAATTCGCTTTAAGACACCTGTACCGGAAGCAACTTTGTTACATAGTTTTTCAATGTGAACAACCCAAGACAAGTTCTCATCAATATGTAC